GGCTCTGTGTAGTTAATGCTGCTCAATGTGAAAGCACGCACGTGATGGGAGATTGATGGGAGATGGGAGACTGTAAATACCGCTGATTACAGAACCGGCTTTCTGACAAGATGCCCGTTAAATATCGCATGCGATTTATCGTGCAGCCCTAATCCAAACACTCACCATGTATTCCTTCACCAGGGATCTCTCATCCTCACCAAGGTAGATACAAAGAGCTCTGAGGATGGCCTCTCTCTTCATATGGACATCACTTGTCTGTAAATATTACAGATTTGATTATTAGTTCATATATAGTTCATAATCTATAAACAGCTGGCAGGAAAAAAATGGAAGAACTCACTACAAATGAACTACCTTAATTATATATATTAGTATATATAATTTCGGTCAAGTCACTGTTTGGATTTAAATACTTTGAATACATAAGTCTCTGCGACATTAAACTGACAAACACATAAAAGAAAAACACAATGACGCAAACGGTGACTTTTTTAACCGGGTATGCTGACATATGACCCCCCCAATCAGCTTTTAAAACACTCAAAGAGGGATCACAGATAACAAAATACACCGTGGCAGGTGTCGATTTAAAAGTTTGCACATTTCCTACCTTATTTGTTAATGAAATTCATCTCCAATCCTCCTATCTTTTCAGGTTTATCCATTGTTATTTGAATGCTAGAAAAATACAGCTGGTTTTCCAAGCAAAAACCGCCAAAAAACGCTTACACGTAGTTACATTATGATACATAATATTCAGAGGGTGGGGAGATGGGGGGATTCCCCCAGTCTATATGACTCTGCATCCGCTCAATGATTTGTTATTCCCAGTGAATGAGTAAAAACTCCCACCCAGGTGACACTACTCCAATAACAGACCATGCAAAATACCTAAAATAATATCTTTAAAATATTGCCAAGTACGTTGCAACGTTGCAAACAACAATAAAATCAGAGAACTGTAAGCGACACGAGCATACAGAAAACAAAGGGAACAATAACCTTCAGAATAATGTAATAATAATCTTCAAAATGTTCAGAGGATTTACATTTCCTTGTTTTTCCTGATGTTTGTTTTTTTTTTCAGACACATTTTACATGCTGCACCATTAAAGCTAGCAAAAAGGGGGATGTTTTAGTAGTAAAGATATTTACACTGAAACATTAAACTGACAAAAACATAAAAGAAAAATACAATGACGCAAATTAACAGACGTTGCTATGCCATATATGAGCATTCAGATCTTACAGAGCAACTTGCTTACATTAAATTCAGCTGAATATTTACTGTAATATGTGGTGATGCATAATATAAAAATACTTACTGTGCAAATCATTGGAAACACTTCAGGAAAATGACTTCAATTCACACCAGGCAAACCTGGAAACTTCCTTTGGCAACAGGGAAATCATGTGTCCGAGTCACATGCATGTGCAGAGAGAACCTCAAATGAAAGCAAGCACACAATAATTATTATTGTTAGTTTAAAACACATTCATTCCATTGCATTTCTGTCTCTTTTTTTTTTACCAACGGAGGCACGAGAGCTCCACTCTCCCCCGGCCTCCCCCTCCCATTCTCTATCAGAGACATGAACTGAAATGAATTGTTAATTGTATTAACATTAAATCTTCCTCCTCCCATTTTCACCTCAAAATTTTGGAGAAGCTGTGCCTCCCCTGCCTCCCCCGACGAGCCGCCACCGATTCTCAGTCGATTCACTAGAAAGTGAAAGTAAAAACTGACTTTCGGCATCTGACATTAACGGCGCATATTCTCTCAGAGACGACGAGAGATGAATCTCCTTCATATGCTGATAACGGTGTTTTAATTTGCTCCCTTAATATTTCTCTTGTAGCCCGAACATATTGGGAAAAAATGTATTTCATGTTAAACAGGTTGTTTTTTCTTTTTTAAAAAGCCGGTGCTTGAAATAAAGCTTTTTTTATTGATGATTGCAGTGTTAACAATTGTAATTATAGGCCTATAATTCATTGTATAATAAACCTGTTTTGAAAGACCTTTTTAAAAACATTTACAATGAGAAGTAAGCTAGCCTAATCTTTTTTTATCCTCGCAGCACGTCAGTTATGCGGTGATGCGCTATGAAATTTTTGCTGGGCTGGAGCTCGCATCTCCGAAAGCACTTAAGCAATTTTTAAAAATACGTTAGGTGCTATCTTTACAAATTTTAAGCTTATAAAACTACATTTTCATCCAAAACTACCTTAAAAATAAATTTCGTCACATAAAAAATTAATATTTGCGTTATTAGTGTGCGCGCTCGGAGTAGGATGTGACCGTTGGTCGCTGGGGAATTTATCCCAAAGACTGGTTCTAGAGCATATTATATTATTTATAGAGCGAACAAACTATTCACTGTAATAAATGGTGCTGTATTACATAAAATATTACTTACTGTGCAAATAGACCGAATGATGGAAACTCCGGGGCTGGAAAGAAAATGTCTTCAGTTCCCACCGTGAACCTTCTTCTTCTTCTTCTTCTGGTGTTTTATGGCGGTTTGGCAAACCAGCGAAAGAGGTGCATTACCGCCACCTACTGATCTGGAGTGTGGAGTGTGCATAAATTTGGAAGAAAGAAATACAGAAGGGAAAGAAAGGAGAAAAAAAAAAAGAAAAGAAAAAAAAAACTAGATTCTATCTATTGTTCCTGTGTTTTTCAGGTATTTAAACATATTTTCTTGCACTCTTGATTGCCTCGACCCATTTCCTAACAATACTTTTAAAGAAATATTATCAACTCCCAGCCATCCTAATTCTTGAATTAATTGAAATCTCTCCCTTTCATATGCAGAACACTCAACAAGAATATGTTTCACTGTTTCTAATTCTCCACATTTGTCACACTTTCCCGATTCATGCTTACCTATTTTATAAAGACTATAGTTTAATGCTGTATGTCCGATTCTTAGTCTTGATAAGATGACATCTTTCTTCCTATTTCCGTATCTTTTCCTCTCATTTCCAACACACTCCTGAATCTGGAAAAGATGTCTTCCTTTAGACCCATTATTCCATAACTTTTGCCACTTCTTACTTATGACATATGATATCACTCTCTTGAATTCAGCTTTACTTAAAGCTAACTTAATTTCTATTTGTGTATGATTTCAACAGTAATTATCAGGCCTTTGGTGCCCTTTGTAGGCATTTGTAATAATGCAAATTGTTTATTTTGTATTACATTATGTATTTAACAGTTTTATTCAATTAAACCATATTATTATTATTAATTAACCAATCATTATCGCCTCATTGTTTTTATATAATACATTTTAAGTCATGAAAACTAGAATATTAAGTCAGATACGTTTTTGTTGGTGGTGAAATTATTACCGACATTAAAACACATTACTAACGTCAACAGTCAAAAAAGTTTCACAGGATTATGAACGTATTTGCCTGAAAGTGATGCACGGGCTTCATCTTGGGCTTTTTTCTTTTTATTTTCTCTGCACCGGACTGCGCTGATGTCTTTTCCCTGATATAGCCTAGTTGTCCATTAATTATGATGATCATTTGTATTCAGCCGCAAACATGAGGTGAGAGCGAGCGCGGGCGCAGATGCAGGAAAGGAGCGTCACGTCTGCTTATACTATACTGTGTTCATCATAAAATGCATTTTTTATAATTATATATATATATATATATATAACGGTATTAAGAAAATTATAGCCATAGGTAACTGTCTAGAGCTACAATTGTAATTGTAGTATAATCCAATTTAATTACTATTTATTTATTTACTTTTATATTTTATTAAAGTTCTATTTTGACCCTTTATAGTAGGTGTTTATTTGTTCAGAATTTTATTTATGTATAGGCTATGTATATGTTATATGTATATGTTATATTAAATTTTTTTTGAGCAACTGGGATGGTACCCCCCTGGGAGTTGGTGCCCTACGCAAACTGCTACTCTGCGTATAGGGAGCGGCGGTAGCCTACTGGTCAGTAACATCACTATTATGATCTGTGAAATCTCACTACGGGTCAGCTGACCCTTCCCTGAGTCACACCACCACAGCAGTCTAACACCTCCACTTCATCTGAAACTCCACCCTCTTACGACACTAACCAATAAGAGACTGGCTTATTTTCCATCTCTCTCATACCGACTCTCTTCTCTGACAATAAGCAAAAAAGGATCAGCAGTCAATGGAGAAGGAAGAGAAAGAGGATTTTTGAGACGTTTAGTTTTTGAACAGAAACATTTTTTTTAAACCATCAGTCAGAAAGTGAAAGTAACCTTTAGATTGCTGAAGCTCAAACAGTGAAAATGGATTCTGTTAAAGAAGGTTTATCTTGTCCTGTGTGTCATGATATCTTCAAGTCTCCTGTTATTTTATCATGTAGTCACAGTTTCTGTAAAGAGTGTCTTCAACAGTTCTGGAGAACCAAGAAAACTCACAAGTGTCCTGTCTGCAGGAGAAGATCCTCAAGAGATGATCCTCCATGTAATCTTGCCTTAAAAAACGTGTGTGAGTCGCTCCTGAAGGAGAGAAAAGAGAGGCATTCATCAGAGTCTGAGGAGCTCTGCAGTTTACACAGTGAGAAACTCAAACTCTTCTGTCTGGAGGACAAACAGCTGGTGTGTTTAGTGTGCAGAGATTCACAGAAACATGACAATCACACATTCAGACCCATCGGTGAAGCGGTTTCATTATGTAAGGTATGACTAAATTACTTTTGTTTGATATGTAAAGAACAATAAATAGTCATAAACACAGCTATCATTACATTCATATGTGCTTTGAAAAAGTATTTGCCTCATTTAGATATTTTTTTGTGTACATCTCATACTAAATAGTTTTAGATATTCAAACAAAATTCACTATAAAACAAAGACAATCTGAGTAAACAGAATACAGATTTTAAGAACAAAATTTAAATTGTCCACTTTAGCAGCAATAACTGTAACCAGACGCTTGAGATAACTGTAGATCAGTCTTTCATTGCGCTGTGTTGGGATTTCTTTTGCAGACTTGTTTTAGTTCAGCAACACTTGAACGTTTCCCAGCACAAACTGCCTGTTTAATAATGGTCCCACAGCATCTCAGTTCAAGTTAGGACTTTGGTTAGGCCACTCCAGAACTTGAGTTCTGCTTTTGTTTTGTTTTTTGAGCCATTCAGTGGTGGATTTACTCCTGTGCTTTGAATCATTGTCTTGTTGCGTAATCCAGCTGAGCTTGAGCTTCAATTTACAGACAGAAGATCAGACGGTCTCCTTCAATGTTGTTCTTGGCTCTTTTGTAACTTCTTGGATGAGCCACTTCTGGGAAAGTTAGCTACGGTCAGTTGTTTCCATTTGGAGATAATGGCTCTTGCTGTGGTTCTGTAGAGTCCAAGAGCATTTGAAATAGCTTCGTAACCCTTCCCAGACTGATACATTTTAATCACCTTCATCCTCATTATTTCTGGACAATGTTTCTTTGGCATAATAACTTTTTTGATTCAATATGCAACATTGTCTTTTTACAAACTGTACTTTGTGTTTACTCATATTGACTTTGTTTTATGTTATGTTTTAATTTCTGACAAAAGAAATCAGGATGGGACAAATAATTTTTCCCAGCACTGTATGATGTATAGTATTCTGTTCTCCTCTTTACTATTATCTGTTTGTTTTTTTTAAGTATATATACAGTATATATATATATACATATATATATATATATATATATATATACT